CTAATGAGGTTAGTGATGTTTTAATTAGTGAGTTTGTTATCAAATTTAAAGTATATTAACTCTTTTGTAGAAGATAAGCAGGTGGAGGTCCTCAAATTCTATCACTATCTTTGAATAGCTTCTCGGCAGACATTACAAAAAATCTAGCTCTCTAGTGATCCAAAATCACAAAGTTAACTTCCATAGCTTCTTTCCACCATTCAGAGATGGATATCGAATCTGTAAAATAAAAACAATTAAAATTCACCATTTAGTCCAAAATTTCATGTTTTAGGGGGACAATGCTTCTTTTTTTAATGAAAGTTGGAGTTAAAACGAATGAAAGAGTAGAGATAGATTGTTATCTACCTGTTGTTATATTTAACATTGTTGTACAATTCGTGGATAGGTTTTCGCATCAAGCATATTGCTACCCATTCCTAACTTTGACAACTTTACATTGGATAGATACATTGCTCTACATATTACATAAAAGGTAGCACTTGAATTAATTAGGCATAAAATTGAAACTAAATTTACCTTCTTTCCGTCCTTGATTTTTAATTTATTGAGCTCTTGCATTGTTTTGATGGTGGTTGGTAGATGGGTTTGTTTTTTGACTCTCGCTGGAGGAGGTGGTATTTTTTTTAAAACGACTAACTTATAAAGCACAATAAAGTACATTGATTCAAATGTCTGCCATGTCCACAAAGTAACATTCACAATCAGTCATCTATACCCAAATTGTATATTATACATGGAATTAAAATGTACATTGAAAGAATTACAATCGAGAAGCTTTTGTTGGATCTCTTTGCTGATAACTTTTCCATTAAATCTAGTATATTTCAATAAGTCCAATCACAGGAAAAATTTTGGCATTGCATCTTACTAATATGTTTCTCTTGGATTTCAGTCATCTAAACCCAAATTGTATATTATACATGGAATTAAAATGTACATTGAAAGAATTACAATCGAGAATCTTTTGTTGGATCTCTTTGCTGATAACTTTTCCATTAAATCTAGTATATTTGAATAAGTCCAATCACAGGAAAATTTTTGGCATTGCATCTTACTAATATGTTTCTCTTGGATTATAAGTTAGTCATCTCACATTTGAAGTCTTATATATATAAGGGTAAATACAATTTAAATGCCAAATCTTTCAAACTTTTCAAATTATTAGCCAAACATTTCAAAATACAATATCAGTCAAATGTTAACTTCCAGTTAGCAGTTTCTTAGTAATACTGACTTGATAACATGATACTGACTTTGAAGAAACTCGTGGCGGTAAACATTCCAAAAAATTAGTATTTTAACTAAAAAAAGAGCTACAAAATTACTAATGATAATAGATAAATGACCAATATTTCGATGCATTACAAAATATTTGGCTAATATTTTGTATTTCAGAAGATTTGACTAATAATTCAAAAAATTTGACTAATAAATTTTATTTATCCTATATATAAGGTGGACAAAATAAACAATCTTATAAACCAACATAGACTTTAATAACAAATATATCGAAAACAAATATCAAATTAATGAATTGTAATGGACATATTTACTATCAACTATGCATGACAAAAGTTCTCCTTGTAGGCTTTTAGTGTGATGTCATCTTAAGTCAATTATGTCTGACTCATTTTGTTTATTAGTTTTGTGTATCAATTTGATAAACACAGCGCAAAAATATAAAGCCACTTTAGACTTTAGTATTAGGGTTTAGTCAAGAATCAATTTGCTACTTAAACCCCATAATAAGTTTCTCATTTGTTGGGCTATAGTAATTATATATGGTGGCTTTGCGGATTAATTTGGGCCTAGATTAAAGCTATAATTAGGCTTAAATAAAATATCTAAAATATCCTTCCTTGCTTCACGCAGAAAGCAGCAAAAATTGATTTATGTGGGTTCTCAATGAGAACCTCCATATATTGTTTTGAGGATTCATCAACCGCACAAGTTAGTAACTCACAACTAGAATCACATTAAACTATCATACTATCATAACTAGAATCACAAGTTAGTAACAGTCCTAACAAGTAACAAGCCATTCATGATACTGAAGAGAGCAGAATTGCACCACAAGAAAACTCGATCATCCCACAGAAGCAAAAATCATCCGTCCAACTTCTTCAATCCAGACAGTGAAATCCGGGATGGAACAAAAGGCACAACCTCAACCTCAACCTTGTCTTCAACCCCAACTGGCCAGCTTTTTCTGGTGTATGGGGCTGGTAACCGGTTCGGTAACGGTTAACCGGTTACCGATCGTACCGGTTACGGTATACCGAATGTGTTGCAACCACGGCCGTTTATCGCTACCGGTTTGTGACCGGTTAACCGGTTATCGAATAACCGGTTAACGGTCACAAACCAGTTTTACCGAAATACCGAACCAATGCAGCGAAACCACACTTCGGCTCGGTTAACCGGTAAATAACCGGTAACCGATTTGCGTGCAGAAGGGTGATGGGGCAGCAGGCTCTCGGCAATTTTTTTTTTAAATTCATTGTTTTTTTTTTAATGAACTCAATCATCATCATGTAAGTCTTAACTCTTATTTACAATATTAAGAGTTATTATAATTTATATCTTATAACATTACAATTGTCATTTCATTTGTCAAACCATAATTGATTTATAAGTTATAACAATTAACAAGTTCAAACTTCAAATTCTGAAATTCATTAAGTATCATCAAATATTGAAATTGAAAGGGACGATAATCAACATAATTGTCAATCAACCAAAGCGCATAATAATTAATGACGATGTCCAAAATCTAAATTCACACAAGTTCAAACTTCAAACTTAATAATAAAAATGGATCTTAGAAGTACCCAAATAACACAACATAAATAAACGCATAAACTAGCTAGCATCTCTCATGCTCCTCCTCCGATAGAACTTGTTGTCCCACCACCAACATTAGCAAATCCTTTCTTTTTCAAAGTCTTAAGAAGAGTAACTTCGGGATCATCATCGTCATCATCACTCTCACTCGTATCATCACTCTCAGTCTCCTCGTCATCTCCCTCCTCCTCCTTGTCCTCCTCAACACCCCCATCAGGTAAGCTATGTGCTCTAACTTCAGTAGCAGTTTCCACTCGAGCTTGGAAAGTATTAGCCAGTAGTGCAAACAAAAAACACAAATATTAATGATTTAAATATGGAATGGCTTAATTTTAGTAAAGAGTATATACAATAATACAAATAAGAAGAATGAATTGAATTCTTACCATTCTCAAAGACAAAGTCGATTGTCTCTTGATCTTCTTCCTTATCATTCAGTTCATCTACAGTCTTTCCACTTTCATACCTTATCCAATCTTCAGCACAAATCAAGGCCTCTACAATGTTTGGGCTCAAAGATGATCTGAAAGGACTAAGAACTCGACCTCCACAACTGAAAGCGGACTCCGAGGCAACAGAGGATACTGGAACTGCTAATATATCCCTAACCATCTCTGCAAGAATGGGATATCTAACACTGTTCCGAGACCACCACTTCAGAATATCAAACTTCCGATCATCAAGCTCCTCGTTAACAGCATCACCAACATCTCTCAAATATGACTCCAACTCACCAGATACTCTACCCCCCCTCTCAAGTTGCTCCTTTCTCTTCTGCTGGAACCGAGCTTCAAATGCACCTCCCATAACAGAAGACTCGCCACTAGTCACAATATCTGGAGTAGTCTGAGTAGTAGCTTCAGAATGTGAAGATTCATACTTCACCTTGTAGACCTCGAACAATAGTATCATCTCTTTCTTCACCTGATCTGCCAAATCATCCCCTTTTGACTTTCCATACATATCTTCCAACATCATAGTCAAATAGTATAGTTTACGCCTTGGATCAAGCACACAGGCCATGTAAACTATCCTATTTATTCTAAGGTTATCCTCCTCAATCAACAGCTCTTTCTTCTCCAGAAAAATGACATAACAATCAGATCTAATTGTTTGTCTTCCAGGTATCACAAACAAAGGCTGTGATACTGCCATAAATCTCCTAAATCCTTCCCGTTCAACAAATCGAAACGAAAGCTCATCCAAGATTATCATGATAGCTAATGCATGTCTAGCTTTGTTCTGATCAAACTTCCACGAAGTAAGAGAGCCTACCTCACCAGTCCCACTAGCTTGATAGTTTAATACCGACTGCCCACTAGATTCCTTCGACCTCCTCTCGCACATCAGATGATGGTTTTTCAAACCAGAAGTGCCATTGTTGGTAGAATGAGCTTTGATCAGCGTCCCACACCGTTTGCATTTTCCAAATGGATAGTCATCCACTAGCACCTAATCATAAGGGATCCACCACTTAGACGTCTTCTTCCTTTTACCCTTGTCAATTTTCTTTTGCACACCAGGTACCTCACTAGCAACACCAGTAGTTGTAGTAGTAGCCGGATTTGCTGGAGATGGAGGTGGATTTGGTGCAGATGGAGGAGGTGGATTTGGTGCAGTGGAAGGTGCACTAGTTGAAGCCTTCCCTTTCTTAGAAGAGCTTCCTGGACGAGGAGGTAGCGAACCAGCTTTCTTTGATTTTTTCGTCCTACAAAAGTACAAGAAATGGTAACATAATCAGATAATCTCATTAACTTCCCATTAGACCAACACAAATCACAAATGGTAACATAATCTCATTACTAACTTCCCATTGGACTAAGTGACTAACAATCTATTTAACTAATTTGATAAGCCAAAAACTTAGCAAAATGAATTCAATATTCAATAAGTGCACTTTCTGGATCATACAGCAAGTTTAGCAAGCACTAAGGATTACTCAAATTCAGCAACCAAAAATCATACAGGCTGTCAAACTAAACATTCAGCAAGTTTAGCAACCAAAAATCAACCAAAAATTCAGCTTAAACTAAACATTCAGTCCTGATTCCTTCGAAGCAATGTCAAATACTCAAATTCAAAGCTCCAATTTCCAAACATCACATTCATTCACAATTTCACATACATTTTTAATTTTTTCGAATGATTCAATTTCAATCTGCTGGCTGGCTGCTGCTGTTGCTGTGGCTGGCTGCTGCTGTTGCTGTCCTGTTCTCTGGCCTCTGTTTAGCCTCCAGGAGCAGGGGTAGCTCTGCCTCTGCGCCTCTGCCTCTACCCTCTCTGGCCTCTGTTCGACACCAACACTAAGGCCTCAACTTAAAATACACCTTCTCAAACAGGAGGGGTAGGGACTGGGGGAAGAAGAAAGATGAAGGCAAGAGAAGGAGAAGGAGACTTACAGAGCGGCGGCGACTGGGGAAGAGGAAGTCGTCGACTCGTCGTGCAAGAGCGGGAGGGCAGAGCGTCGGCCGTCTGCAGAGTCGGAGAGGGAGGAGAACAGGAGAGGGAAGGATGGAAGGCGGCGGAGCGGCGTCGCGGGGCGGCGGATGAGTAAGTCTCCTCTCCAGTCTCCAGGAATCTCGGGTCGGCGGCTGGGCTGTGTGAGTGAGAGACGAAGACGATGGAGATTGGAGAAGGTCAGAAGGTTTAGGACTTTAGGGTTTTTTTTTCACCCTCCGTCCCTCTCCCTAAGCGTTGCGTTTTGTGAGACTCCGTCACGGTATCCGGTTAACCGTCCCACCGACGGTATTTACCGTGTGGGGAGGCGGTATACCGGTGCACCACATTCACCATTCGACTACCGGGTTTTCCGGTTATCGGTATAACCGGTAACCGCCGGTTACCGGTTCGGTTACCGATTATACCGATAACCGGAAAACCGATTACCAGCCCTAATCATAGACGTACAAGGCACAGCTTCGTCGAACTTCAGCAATGCCCATATCTCGAACGAGCAATCGCGATTGCGGTTTCCCCACCAGTCTGAAAACACACCCACAATCGAATCCTTCACCAGGGTGAACGAGATCCCCGACCCACGAGTCCTTCCCGGTGAAATTGTCGAAGTTTGCAGACTCAAAACACTTCTTTCCCCAAGTCGCAGGACACCAGAAATGTGGTCTCCCTGTCCGAATCCCACCAGTAAATCTTGTTAGAAATCGAACAGAAAAATTAGGGTTACCGATATGGCTGAGTCGCGGACTAGGTCGCTCTCTTTAAGACGTTCGCGACACTGCCTTCATTGCGCACGGCAGACTATCAGCCGGTCGCCTCCAGGATAAAACAGCCACTCTAAGTTAGTTTGCTCAGCGGTTTTGTGCGAAAACCGGAGCTCTATGAATTCACTCTCTCTCTTGCTTCTGCTCTTCTGAGGTGTGTTTAGAGGGTCTGGGGCGTCTCCTATTTATAGGAGCTAGAAAACCCAGAATATTCCCTCTTTCTTTGGGAATAAGTCATATTTTAATTAGGGAGATAATTACTCCCATAATTAAAATATAATCTATTAAGATAATTATTCCTAATTATCTCCATAATATTCCTTTTATTAATTATCCATCTTATTTATGTATTATGGGAAAATACTGGATAATTAATTAGAAATTTCATTTATAGCTTTTCAAAGCTATTCATCCCAACAATCCCCCACTTGAATAGTTTTGAAACTATCTTGAGCATCAACAGTTCCATAAGATCGGGCATAAGCTAAGGTATCGCGAAGATTTGAACCTTAACGTAGTGGTTACACTTCCGATTTCATAAGGGTGACTCGTAGTCTTGAACCCTATCTCAGACAATGTAGCACACCGGATCTTTTCATTGAGTGATATTCTCTCATAGGCCGTGCGTTTATGGCCATGCACGTTATCCCGGTTTAGTGAACGCTCTAGCAACTTTGTGCCTCCAAAGTTCCATAGGGAGCGGCCCCACTCCCACATTCACATAGGTGAGTCTATCAGAAGTACCCCCAAAGTAAAGTACTCCACCCCACATAGGGTATAGATCTCATTAAGAGTTGTTAACTCAACCTCCATTGCTTTGGGATTCATGCTTCACTATGCATGAACTTTTCGCATACTACTCATGACTTGTTATTACCCATTGAACCCATTTCTTGGGATCTCCAGTCTATTGGGTCGGGTTACCATCACTTGTAGTCCGTGGTTCGGTAGGCATAAGTCCCATACCCTTGGCGGTATTTTGGACTTTCTCTCTAGATAATCCTTTCGTCAAAGGATCAGCTAGATTCTGTTAGGACCTTACATGATCCACCCTCATAGCTCCTATCGTTAGAAGTTCTCTTACAGTACTGTGCTTACGACAAATTTGTCGTCTCTTTTCGTTCTAGAACCGGTTCCCTTCTTTTGCAATAGCTGCGGTGCTATCACAATTAATCAACTACCGGAGGGATCGGTCTTTCCCATAAGGGAATCTCTAGTAGTGACCCTCTCAATCAACTTTCCTCTTTACTAGCCATTGCTAGTTTTATCATTTTCGATTTCTTAGTTGATTGAGCCAGGATCGTTTACTTCTTAGACTTCCAAGACATAGCTTCTCTATCGATGTTTTAAAACACATCCTCTTGTTGTCTTGGAGTCCTCTATAGGGTATTCTAATCCGCATCACTATACCCTACCAATACAGCAAAACCTTTGATAACAAATACCAAGGTTTTTCTGTTCTTTTAAGGTGTCTCATGACCCCTTTCAATCGCATTTCAATGCTTCATACTAGGACAATCAGTAAGCCTGGCAAGTACCCCCACTATATCGGGTCTCATGTTTATCAGTTGCCTCTCGCAGACTGTAGATGCTGGTATATTCTAACTTTCTTACACCGTCTTTGGTGTTCTTTAAATATTTATACGAGCATCATCAAACATGTATGCAGGTGTACATCTTGTATTTTCCTAGTTATTAGGATCTCTAAGCATAACATTTGTTTCATTCGGATCCTTCACATTCAACCATCATGGTTTTTCAATATTGACATCACGAGTCTTTGTACCAAAGATCGACGTGTCATTCATAATGCAAGTGTCATTCTCAAATTTGTACTAAATGCACTTGTCACTTTCACTTTTAAAACCATGAGAGAGAACCAGTTTATTCATGCCATCGTCTTAGAGTCTATTTCAAATCTTACAATGATTTGTCTAACTATAGACTCCCTAAGCATGTTCAGCAATAACAACCCTATAGGTTGTCCCATGTAGATTTTCCTATCTAAATCACCATTCACAGAAACATGTTTAACAATCCATCTGACGCACAACACTAGCAATCAGAACATACATGGATGTTATTCTACATATGGTGAATAGATAACAAGAAAATTTACAATTTTTCCTTTTCGCTTAAAGCCTTAGCTATTAGGTGATCCTTATACTCATAAACTAAACCAATAGGTTTCACTTTTCTTTTAAGAATCCATTTATTACCCATGACTTCATTGTCAAGAGGTAATTCTCAAAGATGCCAAATCTTGTTCGATTCTATCGAGATATTACCCAAGGCTTTTCAACCAAGAGGTAACTCTACAAGATTTTAAGTCTTATTAGACACCAATAATTCCATTTCGTTAATAATGGATTCTCCCACAATTCTGCATCTTTATGGAAGTTCGAACTTCTAGAAGACTTGTATGATCTTTCTTTCTTAGGGTGTAAATAACAAATTCATAACCAAAATCCATGATGAATCGTTTCGCAGGCCGAAAAACCTCCACAACATTCCACCCTTTAGGAAGTTCAGGACCATTCAAATCACCAGGGACAAATGCACCTAATGACCTTATAGTCGTTGGAAACAGGATCAAACCCGAACCCAATCGGCTCTCCGAACAGCCGGCCTTTCCGAATGGTGAAGGCGGCAGAATCTTCGTCTCGGAAGTTGCCGGGTTCCAGAGGAAAATGTCGGCAGGTTTATTGTCATAAAACTGTTTATCGGCGATGCAAACAATTCCATCGCAGCATCCCACAATTGACAGATCTAAGGTCAAAAACAGAGGAGCGAACCCTATCGGGGACAGAGGGCAAATCGACCTTTACGTCGCCAATCGGGGAGATGGGTTTCAGAACTTTGTAGGAGCGCAGGGAGTAGACGGTGCGGTAAGAGTCGACGCCGACTTCGGCGCCCTTTATTAGGATCTGGGCAATTTCGCTGTCTCCGGTGAGATTAATGTTGGGGGTGAAGAGTACGTTGTAAATGGAACCTGGGTAGGAGAGACGGTTGTTCCACAGTTTGCAGACGCAGCGGAATCTTGCGATGCAGGAGCCGGATGGAAGGTTCATTAAGATCTCGATCACGACATCGTCCGGTAGAAAGCCGCCGGTACTTTCCTCTTTAAATCGATGGATGGCCGGATTCCAGATCTGGATTTTGGGGTTGCTGCCGCCGCTTACTGAAGAAACGGCGCCAGCTTTCCTCTTCCGGCCGCGGCTCTTTCGGCGGTCTTCGGCCATTGTCAATTTCTGATACCAAATGGCAACTAGGGTTGTGGCGGCGGGGCAGAGACTAAAGAGAGAGACGTTCTGAAATACGATCAATACTTTTGGAATTCGGAGTGAAGTTTTTTCTTTATAACAACGCGGTCTATTCTAATACGTTTGCAATATCATATAGCTGCCTCATTTTGGCTGCAGATTCACAGAACAGATGGAATTTGTTTAGAATGAAGGAACAGATAAAAAGCTGGGATATGGGAGGGTAAATGCAGGAATGGAGCTACAACTTAGAACTCAGTTCGCAATATCGACATACTATGGCCATCTCCAAGCTGTAGCTTTACAGCGCAGAAGTTAGTTCTCCTTGGTCCCCTCCTCCTGATGGTTTTCTGAAGATCAACTTTGGTGCTGCTGTTCGTCCTTCCGGGTGCTCGTCTGGTCTAGTGGTGCGGAGTTCAGACGGACATGTGGCTCTGGCAGTAGGATCTCTTCACCCCGGTATTGCTGATCCCTACCTCGCAGAACTCCTAGCTGCTAGAGACGCCATCTTCCTTTTGGTCTCCAAATCTCTGCCACGGGTCATCATAGAAGGAGATTCAGAGGCGGTGATTAGTCAGCTTCGTCAAGGTGTTTTCTCAGGCTCCCTTGGAGGTCCGGTGCTTCGGGATTGCTTCCTTCTCCTGTCCTCTGTTTCTGTTTTCTTAGAGTTTAGGGCAGTTCCCCGGACTGCTAACAAGGCTGCCCATAGAGTGGCGCAGAAAGCCCTGTTACTCTCCCCTCTAGAGTTACGCTCCTTTGACTTTGTTGGGTAGCTTCACTGATGTATTGGGTTGGGCAGGGTCTTGGTAGTTTGTATAGGTTCTCTCTTGACATTTCTTGGAAAAAAAAAAGTTATTCTGCTAACTGCTTAAAGGGTTAGCAGATACTAACATGGTCAGATTTTGGGCCACGTATGCTTGGGCTTCATCCAACGGAGGAGAGAAGTAGCTGGGTGTCGGCTCACTTAAATGAGCTGAAGATGGGCTTCCATGTAGAAGCCGGCCCAGCGTGCGGCGCAGAAGGCGAGCCGAGCAAGTGACGTGGTGGACCCGGCTTCTGTTTGGGCGGGATTTTGGGTTGGAGTGGAAAGAGAACGAAATTTTTGGGCCCCATGTGATATTTATGCATGTTTGTTTGTGTGGATATTTATTTGTTTTCAGTCGATATTATTATGTGTTGTGTTGATATTACTTTGCATCATTGTTGAAATGAACTAGTATTCTTTCTTCGCAAACCAATATCCATCATTAAATTAATATTTACCAAACCCCAAAATAACCCAACCACCCGAAACTGATTACACCAATTTAGAGTTTAAGTTTTAGGGTTTATGGTTCGGTTTTCAATTTGTGAAGGATTGGAATATTGTTTCTTACATCAAATTAAACACACTAGGAAGTTAAACACACTAGGAAGTCCTAACACGTAAGGCTTGCAACCTTAGTTAGGGCTGCCCGCCGAGTAGGGGTGGCTATACGGTCCGGTCCGGTTAAATTGGCCCAAATTGATCCGGTCCAGTCCGGTTTTTTTGAAAATATAAGGACCGAAGATTGGATTGGATACAGTCCGGTCTTGATCCGGTCCGGTCTTGACCCGGTCCGGTCCCAATTCGGTCTTGGTTTTATATTGAGATTGTGGGAATTTGAGTGGCCTAAGGCCTAAAAGGGTGAGGAGTTGGTTAAGTTTTGTACTAAGTGCAAAGGTTTGTGACCGTTTATGCAAATTACCCTTAAGTTTTGGATGTTGAGCTCTCTTATCCGGTCTTTATCCGGTTTTTTACCTCAAATCTAAGCCCAAAAATTGAATTGGATTGTTTACTATCCGGTCCCGGTCCGGTCTCGGTCCGGGTTATACGGTCCGGTTTCCGGTTTTTCATCCGGTCCCGGTCCAAATAGCCACCCCTACCGCCGAGGGCCCATGGGCCGAAGGCCCATTAAATAATAATAGTTTTATGGTTTAGGGTTTGTGTTACGATTTAATGTTAAGGTTTTAGGGTCTAGTTTAGGTTTAAATTGATATTAGTTCATGTTTTCGAAAATTTTATTGGACTTTTGGATATTCTAATAGGGCTTTTTTGGTAAAGTGATTAAGGTGTTAGTGTTAGGGTTTAGGAATTTTTTTTTTAGGATTAAAGGTATAATTATTAGTCTTGTGGTCGTTTGCAATGAATGAATATTAGTTTACGTGGTTCGGATATTAGCTTTTGGTTGAATTGATATTAGTTCGTGCTTTTGAATATTTGTCTGGGAAGTTTGGATATTCTAATGGGCACTTTTGGTAACTATTCGATGTGATCCTTTGTTTATTTAAGCATCTAGCACTTTTGGTAACTATTCAAATTAGTTTACAACTATTATATATTAGTAAGTATGTGGTGGATATTAGTCTGTCATAGTGATAATATCCATTTTGTGATCACATGATATTCTTCTAAGACAGAAAGATATTAGACTGGGTGTGTGGATATTTTTCTGGGTAGTGTGGATATTCGTTTTAGTCTTAGTATTTAGGGTTCATTAGTTCATGTTTTCGGATATTTTTTTGGGACGTTTGGATATTCTAATGAGACACTTTTGGTAACTATTCTGATGTGACACTTATGGTTTAGGGTTTGTGTTACAGTTTAATGTTAAGAGTTTAGGGTCTAGCTTAGGTTTGAATTGATATTAGTTCATGTTTTCGGAAATTTTCTTGGAGTTTTGGATATTCTAATAGGGCTTTTTTGGTAAAGTGATTAGGGTGTTAGTGTTAGGGTTTAGTTTTAGGGTTCATGGTTCATTAGTTCATATTTTTGGATATTTTTCTGGTACTTTGGATATTCTAATGGGGCACTTTTGGTAACTATTCCGATATGATCCTTTGTTTATTTAAGCATGTAACACTTTTGGTAATTATTCGGATTAGTGTACGACAATAAGATATTAGTCAGTGTGTGATGGATACTAGTCTGTTGGATTTTGATGTGGATACTTTTTTGGAGCCTTCCGATACTTTTTTGGAGCCATCTGGTATTATTAGTGTGTGGTAGATGTTAGTCCGTGTGTTATGGATATTATTCTGTTATATGTACAATATTATTTAGGTGTCACTAGATATTTGTCTGAGACGTTTGGATATTGTTCTGTAGGGTTTGTGTTAAGGTTTAGGGTTTAGGATTTAATGGTTTAGTTTTGAGGGTTTAGTTTTGGTTTGAATTTATATTAGTTCATGTTTTTGTATATTTGACTGGGACGTTTGGATATTCTAATGAGACACTTTTGGTAACTGTCGATTAAATAACAATAGTTTTTATGGTTTAGGGTTTGTGTTGGAAAGAGGGTTAAGGGTTTAGGGTCTAGCTTTGGTTTGAAGTGATATTACTTCATGTTTTCGGAAATTTTCTTGGACGTTTGTATATTCTAATGGGGCACTTTTGGTAACTATTAAGATGTTGTCCAACGTTTATTTAAGCATCTAGCACGTTTGGTAACTATTTGAATTAATGTACAACTATAAGATATTAGTGAGTGTGTGGCGGATTTTAGTCAATACATGCTGGATACTATTTAGTTTGTGGTGGATGTTAGTCAGTGTGTTATGGATATTATTCTGTTATATTTACAATAATATTTAGGTGTCACCAGATATTTGTTTGAGACGTTTGAATATTGTATGTAGGGTTTGTGTTAAGGTTTAGGGTTTATTTTTTTAGGGTTAATGGTTTAGTTATTAGTCTTGTTGTCGTTTGCAATGAATGGATATTAGTTTACGTGGTTCAGATATTAGCTTTGGGTTGAATTGATATTAGTTCATGCTTTCGAATATTTGTCTGGGACGTTTGGATATTCTAATGTCACTTTTGATAACTATTTCGATGTGATCCTTTGTTTATTTAAGCATCTACCACTTTTGATAACTATTCGGAATAGTCTACAACTATCAGATATTAGTCAGTATGTGGTGGATATTAGTCTATCATAGTGATAATATCCATTTTGGGATTACTTGATATTCGTCTGAGAAGGAAGGATATTAGACTGTGTGGTGTGGATATTCGTCTGGGTAGTGTGGATATTCGTTTTAGTTTTAGAGTTTAGGGTTCATTAGTTCATGTTTTCATATACTTTTCTGAGACGTTTGGATATTCTAATGGGGCACTTTTGGTAACTATTCCGATATGATCCTTTGTTTATTTAAGCATCTAGCACTTTTGGTAACTACTCAGATTAGTGTACAACAATAAGATATTAGTCAGTGTGTGATGGATGCTAGTCTGTTGGATTATGGTGCATATACTTTTTTGGAGCCATCCGATACTATTCTTAGGGTTTTGTGTTATGCTCATAAAAAAAGGGTTTGGTACTCGAGTAGATTCGGAGTAGTGATTGGGATTTGGGGTTTTAGTGTTAGAGTTTAAGGTTTTTTTTAGGGTTAAGGTTTAGTTTTTAGGTTTAGGTGGTCGTCTTGTGGTCGGATATTAAACTGGGTGGTGTTTGTATTTGTTTTGCAATGAATGGATATTAGAAGGGTGTCTATGTGGACGTGTATGAGAGCATAATATCTAGACAACACAAATTAATATCCATACATTTCATATCCAGACCTAACATAATAATATTCCAGAATAACAAACTCAAATCCATAATAAAAAAGAGTTGTTTTATCGACAAACCGCGATAAAACTAGTATTCAATGCCATTACAACTTGGCAATCCCAAAATCTCAAATCCGAAAAAGCACAACCACATAAGAAATGAGAAAGCAATAGTTTTGAGCCAGTGATTTGCCTCCACCTCCCTTTCTCATGGAGGAGCTAGAATCAAACAACTTTTGGATCTTGTCATTTTGCAAAATTCCTGAAATACATGAAAAGAAATCATTAGGCATATGCACAGTCCAGACTAATATCCATATAGGGCATACAAGTATCCAGACCTAGCATAAAAATATCCATGCATCATGGGCATGCTAAATATCGACATTCAACACACTGGTATCCCAAACATGTTAAATAATATCTCAGGTCAACAAACTACCATATTAACGAGCAAAACTCAGAACCCCCAAAACAATATCCACATTCAACACAATGGTATCCCAGGCATGCTAGATAATATCCCCGATCGACAAACTACTTTATTAACGAGCAGAACTCTGAACCCCCCAAACAATATCCAAATTCAACAAACAGGTATCCCAAGCATGCTAAATAATATCATAGGTCAACAAACTACTATATTAATTCCTGAAAATAGCTAATATCATTGAACTAATATCCATACAGGGCATAAAAATATCCAGACCTAGCATACAAATATCTATGCATCACATAACCAATATCCTGACAATCAACCACCATACAATATCCACATTAAACTAAATGGTATCCCATGCCAGCTAAACAATTTTTCAGGTAAAAAAATATCAAATTAACGAGCAAAATCCAGAAACAATTCTTGAAAAGAGCTAATATCATTGAAATAATATCCATACAGGGCATAAAAAATTAAAAATATCCAGACCTAGCATACAAATATCTATGCATCACATAACAAATATCCGGACAATCAACCACCAAACAATATCCACATTAAACTAAATGGTATCCCATGCCAGCTAAACAATTTTCCAGGTAAAAAAAATCAAATTAACGAGCAAAATCCAGAAACCCCAAACAATATCGACATCAAAAAACAAATCCCCCAAAACAAAAGAAATCCAAATCGAAAGAAATCGAAAGAAATCTCAGCCACAAAAAAATCCCAGATCCCCCAAATCGAAAGAAATCCAAATCCCCCAAATCAAAAGAATCTCAAATCCCCCAACAAGAATCCCAGATCCCTAACAATGAATCTCACATCCAAAAAACGAAGAAAAAAAAAACTCAGATCCAGTCGAATCTATGAAACCCTAAATCAAATATATGTAATCCAGCCACAGAAAATCCCAAATCCCCTAAATCGAAAGAAATCCAAATCCCCCAAATCAAAAGAATCCCAAATCCCCCAAATCGAATCTCAAATCTCCCGACAAGAATCCCAGATCCCTAACAATGAATCTCAGATCCAAAAAACGAAGCAAAAATAAAAAAAAAACTCATATCCAGTCGAATCTATGAAACCCTAAATCAAATATACGTAATCTAGCCACAGAAAATCCCAGATCCCCCAAATCGAAAGAAATCCGAATCCCCAAAATCAAAAGAATCCCAGATCCCCCAAATCGAATCTCAAATCCCCCGACAAGAATCTCAGATCCCTAACAATGAATCTCAGATCGAAAAACGAATCCCTAAACCCCCAAAACGAAACCCTAAACCCCCAAATTCGAATCTCACGGACACAATATCTGGAAATCTAGAATCAAAACCCTAAACACCCTAAATCGAATTGCATGAACCATAAATTATCAAATCCATAAACAAAACCCAGATTTCCACAAAAAAATCCATGAAACCGAAACCCTAACATAAATATTCAAATCCACAAACAAAATGAACAATAAAGAGAGAAGTAGAACTACCTCAGTCTTCTTCTACCTCCCACTATCGGCGGCGACGGCGGCGGCCTTCTTCGTCGGCGAAGTCAGCTCCCTCTTCTTCCTCGTCGGTCGGTCCAGCGTCAACGTCGTCGTCGGCGGGAGATCCAACAAGCGGTCGCCGACCTCGCTGCCGTCGTCGCCGTCGCTTTCCTCGTCGCCGTCGCAGACCTCGTCGCCAACAGCGGTGGTTTTCTGCTTCTGCGGTTTTCGGGAGAAGAAGAAAGGGAGGAGGGTTCGAAAGTTGGAGAGAGGGGAGAGAGAATGGCTGATGACGCGGGTTTGTTGGGTTTTGGGTTTGAAATTTGGGTTTTTGTTTTTTTTTTTTTATTTCTTTCCCCACTTTTGAGAAAAATGGCTCGGCTTGGCCAAAAACTCTCCCCCTCACAGAACAGCGCCGGCGACCCCTCACCCTCCGATGGTGGCTCGACGACGTGGCCCATCATCCCACCGTGTTAGTATCTGCTAACCACTTAAAGGGTTAGCAGAATAACGCTATTGGCTTTACAGAATCATCAAGAGATAATTAACTCTGACTGAAACGTGCACTTCGATGTCAGCAGCAGCCCAAGTGGTTTAGTTGAAACAGACAATTAAACAAGAATGGAGAGCAAGCACTCCAACTCACATACAAAATTCTGTGTTAGAAGCCCCAAAGATCTCTCCTTCCTGTTATCTACAACACCAAAAACAAAATGAACAGATTGAACAGGCAAGTACTCCCTAATGGGTTTGTGACGTCTTTATAATCGTTCGATATTATCATGACTAAAATTAACATCGAGACAGCAGAAAGTAGAAAGTTCCATTCCATGATTTTGCTTCAGTTCAAAGATACATAGAGTTCCTGCAGAAAGCAACTATCAGAATTCTCAGCTATCACAACATTGAATGGGGTCATAGTTTTAGTTCCGTTCATTTCCCAGGGACGAAGTTGGTGGCGAAAGCCCAGGCATTGTTCGCTACCGGGTCAGCAACATGGTCGAAAAGGTTCTCAACGGGACCTTTTCCAGTGACGATGGCCTGAACGAAGAATCCAAACATGGAGAACATAGCCAGGCGGCCATTCTTGATTTCCTTGACCTTCAACTCAGCGAACGCTTCGGGGTCATCAGCCAAACCAAGAGGGTCGAAAGCTCCACCAGGGTAAAGGGGGTCAAGTCCCTCGCCAAGAGGTCCACCACCAACTCTGTAGCCCTCAATGAATCCCATGAGCACAACCTGGCAAGCCCAAATCGCAAGAATGCTCTGCGCGTGGATGAGGTTCGGGTTGCCAAGGTAATCCAGACCGCCCTCGGAGAAGATTTGAGCTCCAGCTTTGAACCAGACTGCCTCACCGAATTTCACACCGTTCTTGGAAAGGACTTCAGGGAAGACACAGCCGAGGGCTCCAAGCATAGCCCATCTGCAGTGGATCACCTCGAGTTCACGGTTCTTGGCGAATGTCTCGGGGTCTGCTGATAGTCCAGCAGTGTCCCAGCCATAGTCACCGGGGAATTCTCCGGTGAGGTATGATGGGGTTTGCTCTGAGAATGGACCCAAGTACTTGGGACGGTCTGCTCCATACCTGAAAGCAAATTGTGAGGTTAATTTCTTACTTAGAGCCAATGCAGTCAAAAGCGCGATTCTACCTAGAAGCGGAAAATGGGTAAAATCATAAAGCGTAGAATCAAAGCGTAAAAGCGTAAGTTTTTGAAGCATACTGAAAAAATAACTAAAAAGCTAGGACATATACTATGTAAAATATGAATGCACGGAATTTAGATAAGTTAATAAATACATGCAATTCATGCCACAAGTAGAGCAACTTGTAGCATCTTAATAATAAGTTTGTAAACATAAATTTTAACAATAAGCCACTTCTTCCTCTATGCTAATGCATTCGGGAAGAGTCTAGCTGGTGAATTAGATTACTCTATTAAAGTTGAGAATGCATCCAAGTACATGATATGTATCTTTTAATCTCAAATGTATAATATTGTTGGTGATTTACTTTTAAAACATACTTTTTATAATTAATTTCATGAAAATAATACTCATTTAGTGAACTAAAAGCGTAAAAACGTAAAGCGTTTTGGTGAACTAGAAGCGCAAAAGTGTAAGCTTTTAAGCTTTAAAGCGCAATTTAGTCCGATTTTATACACTTAAGTTTTTATATGGAAACGAAAGCGTTTTGGTGACCTAAAAGCGTAAAATCGTAAGTTTTTAAGTTTTAAAACGCGATTTTGACTGCATTGCTTAGAGCTGTTCAATTTGCCAGCAGTTGGGTAGTTAGCGTTCTTTCTTGTAAAGCAGGCCATGCTTTCAATTGGGTTTTACTTACATTACAATGCTCAATTCCGTTTCTTGATAACTACAGGTCAATCGGGTAAAGCATGAAAGGTAGAGAGAATTGCGAGGAATGGATAACAGTGGCTGCTTACCAAATGCTTTGGGGAACACTTTTCACAGTGCGGCGCATGTTGATCCGGCCGTCGCCAAAAGAACCAACCTTGCGAAGGAGCTCATCAGCCTGCTTCAGCGCAGTTTGGCCAGCGAATGCAGACTGCTGGAATGCAGAGGTTGCCATGACTGAGAAAGGTCGGAGCTTTCTTGCTGCTGGGTGATGATGATGAGCTGTTTTTCGTTGTGGGAAGTGTAGAGAAGTTGGGGCAGTTTATATGGGAAGTTTGGGTCTCTGTGGATTGGGGAAATCTCCATGTCAGCAGCTGCTAATTGGTTATTGGGGCTGGATAGTGGATGTGGGTCTATTCGGGTAAGATTCTTACTCAAGGTAGTAGAGGTTGAAGATGTGCCAGATGGGATTTGGAAGATCTTCGTTTTGATGGGGCCAAGGCGACTGCGAGCCACACATGTGGTCACTAAATTACAGAACCTGTGAGTCCGTCCGTCCTTTACCTGCAGAATTCAGATCCGCCGTGTTTCCTAACCTCTGATCTCCAATGAATTTGTTACTCGCCGGAATTCCTGAGGGGGATCTATTTCCATTTTCCCGATCGCCATTCATTCTTCACTGCTACATCCTTTGCTCCTCATCGGCTGCCAAAGCTTCTCTTTCGTCGCCGTTCTGAATTAGGTGTGGAAGAGCATAACAAATTATAGATGGAAGTAGAGAAAGAAAGATTAAAATCAGCTCCATGTCGAACCCTAAATCCCGGAGTAGCGCCCCTTTTTCTTCTCCCTCAATCTCGACCCCACAATCCCGACGCAACTGCTCTGTTGTTTCCCCCTCAACCCCGCGTCGTCCATCCGCTGAAACCCTGTCTCCGCCTAAAAAATCCAACTCCTTTTCTCAATATCTGAAAGCTTAGTTAAGACTATGGTTTGGTTGCGTGAGGGGTTTCAGTTTAGGTAATATGGTTCTTTGGGGCGTCCGTTTGAAGGGTCTGCTTCTGGTAAGCTTCTTCGTTGTTTGGTTGGTGACAATTGAAGGAGTAAGCGATTCAATAGCTTCTTGATGGTTTATTTGCAATGGCTAGTTTTTTTTTTTTTTTTTTGGTAGAATGTCTAGTTGCTGGGACATCAAGCGAATGAAGCAGGTAATTTGTTGGATTGATTTCTTCTCTGAAAATTCTGTGTACAATGATTGCCATATTAGGACAAGGGAAGAATCGAATTTACTGTCCAAGTTTAGTCTGGTTTAAGCTAGTGAGGGAAATGGATGGGATTTTCACCTTGATTATGATATTGAGGGCTGAAAGTGGAGGGCAGAGCCTCCCAATCACAAACCTGAGGAACTGCCCCTGCAGAACCACTATCCCGGAACACAGCAGCTGATGCAAAGGGATCAAATTGGTAACTCCTTGACCCCTGAAATGAATCCTGGCTCAGGTTGCCTCCCTCACCTCCAATCACTTGACTTTGATTTCACTTGTACCATTATGCATCTTCATATTCTGGTTTTTATTCAAGTTGCAAGCTGAAGAATCAAGCTTGTTCCTCTCTAAACTAATATTTGTAACATCTGCACCAAATACCCTTTTCCTTGATTCGCAATTAGAAAGAGATGCAGCAGCGCTTGTAATGCTGTTGGTGTGGTTTCCGTGTTTAATCCTACTCGTCTACATGCAGGTTTCCTGGAATCTACAGTATGAGTTTGTATCCATAACCATCAAGTTTACGACTTGACAAGAAATCTAACCGCACAATGTTCAAACTAGCAACTGTGCTGATAACTGTCTTGCTGTGGAGCATTACCTTACCAATAAGCTTCATGGAGGAAAGCACGTTTGCAATATCATATGCCTGACTTTGGCTGCAGATTCCCAGAACAGATGGAATTTGTTTATAATAGAGGAACAGATAACAAGCTGGGATGTGAATTGGGTAAATGCAAGAATGGTGGTAGAACTTAGAACTCAGTTCACAATATCGACGTACTATGGCCATCTTCAAGTAGTAGCTTTGCAGAATAATCAAGGGATAGTAACTCCGACTGGAACGTGGATTTCAATGTCAGTAACAGCCCAAGTGGTTTAGTCGAAACAGACAATTTCACAAGCATAAAGGGCAAGACCTGCAGCTCGCATCAGAAGTCAGAACAAATGAAAAGCTTGACAAGTTCTGGGTTAGAAGCCCCAGAGATTTCTCCTTCCTGTTATCTACAACACCAAAATCAAAAGCAGCAGGTTGAGTAACTCCCACTCTTATGAGCAACTAAACTCGGATCCTCTCCGAATGCAGAGAACTCACCCAGTTTAGACGCTGCAGCAGATAGGCAAGTACTTCCAATGGGTTTATGACGTCTTTATAATCCTTCGACAAATTATTTTCATGAGTAAAATTCATATTGAGACAGCAGAAAGTAGAAAGTTGCATTCCATGCTTTTGCTTCAGTTAAAAATTACACAGTACTTTTAGAGCTCTCAGCTATTACAACATTGAATGGATCATTGTTTAGGTTCCGTTCATTTCCCAGGGACGAAGTTGGTGGCGAAAGCCCAGGCATTGTTCGCAACTGGGTCAGCAACATGATCGAAAAGGTTCTCAACGGGACCTTTTCCAGTAACAATGGCCTGGACGAAGAATCCAAACATGGAGAACATAGCCAGGCGGCCATTCTTGATTTCCTTGACCTTCAACTCAGCGAATGCTTCCGGGTCATCAGCCAAACCAAGAGGGTCGAAAGCTCCACCAGGGTAAAGGGGGTCAAGTCCCTCGCCAAGAGGTCCACCACCAACTCTGTAGCCCTCAACAAATCCCATGAGCACAACCTGGCAAGCCCAGATCGCAAGAATGCTCTGAGCGTGGACGAGGTTTGGGTTGCCAAGGTAATCCAGGCCACCCTCGGAGAAGATTTGAGCTCCAGCTTTGAACCAGACTGCTTCACCGAATTTCACCCCATTCTTGGAGAGGACTTCAGGGAAGACACAGCCGAGGGCTCCAAGCATAGCCCATCTGCAGTGGATCACCTCGAGCTCACGGTTCTTGGCGAACGTCTCAGGGTCTGCTGATAGTCCAGCAGTGTCCCAGCCATAGTCACCGGGGAATTCGCCAGTGAGGTACGATGGGGTTTGCTCAGAGAATGGGCCCAAGTACTTGGGACGGTCTGCTCCATACCTGAAAGCAAATTGGAAGTCCTTCAAAAGTCAATTCTGGCAATCCTGTGGTAACTTCTTACTTAGAGATAGCTCTTCAAGTTGCAACAGTTAGGTAGTTATCGTTCTTTCTTGTAAATTGCGAGGAATGGAGAAAAGAGGCTGCTTACCAAATGCTTTGGGGAACGCTTTTCACAGTCCGGCGCATGTTGATCCGGCCATCGCCAAAAGAACCAACCCTGCGAAGGAGCTCATCAGCCTGCTTCAGCGCAGTTTGGCCAGCAAATGCAGACTGTTGGAATGCAGAGGTTGCCATGGCTGAGGAAAGGTTGGAGTTTTGTTGCTGCTGGGTGATGATGATGAGCTGTTTTTGGTTGTGGGAGGTGTAGAGAAGTTGGGGCGGTTTATATGGGAAGTTTGGGTCTCTGTAGATGTTGTGGATTGGGGAAATCTCCATGTCAGCAGCTGCTAATTGGTTATTGGGGTTGGATAGTGGCTGTAGGTCTATTTTGGGGTAAGATTCTTGCTGAAGGTGGTAGAGGTTGAAGATGTGCCAGATGGGATTTGGAAGATCTTGTTTTGCTGGGGTCAAGATGTTTGCAAGGGAAGGCAAATGAGAGCCACACATGTGGTCACCAACTAAATTACAAAACTTGTGAGTCTGTCCTTTACCTTCCCATCTTTGATGCTTTCCCGTCAGAATTCAGATCCGCCATGTTCCCTCCGATGAATTTGTTACTCACTGGAATTCCTGAGGTGATCTATTTCCCTATCTCCATTCATTCTCCACAGATACTTCCTCCTCATCGGCTGCCAAAGCTTCTCTTTCGTGGCCGTTACTCAGTACACTCATCTGAGTCCGAATCTGCTTTGGGAGATTTCTATATGATAAAGAGCATAATATTTTGTAGATGGAAGTGGAGAAAAAAGATTAAACTCAGCTCAATGTCGAAACCCTTGATCCCGATGTAGCTCCCATTTTTCTTCTCCAATCTCGACCCAACTTCCCGGTTGATCTCGACCCCTCAATCCCGATGCAACTGCTATGTTCTTTCCCCTCAACCCGCGTCGTCTGAACCCCTATATCCGCAACTCAGGCTTCTGAATTTGTTCTTTTCTCCATATCTGAAAGCTTTGTTAAGGCTATGGTTTAATTGCATGAGGTTTTCAGTTAAGGCAATATGGTTCTTTGTGGCATCCATTTGAAGGGTCTGCTTCTGATAGCTTCTTGATTGTGCGGTAGCTTCGAATTCAGGAAGGGAAGGTACCATGATTGCCATGTTTCCATGATCAAACAGGCGTTTCAGAGTTGCAGCAATTGTAAAGCAAATTGCCATATTAGGACTACCGAAGAATCGGATTTGCTTTCCAAGTTTATTCTGGTTTAAGCTAGTGAGGGATATGGTGGGATTTTCACCTTGATTATGATATTGAGGGCTGAAAGTGGAGGCCAGAGCCTCCCAATCACGAACCTGAGGATCACTGTCTCTGAAGACAGCAGCTGGTGCAAAGGGACCAAATTAGTAACTCCTTGACCCCTAAAATGAATCCTGGCTCAGGTTGCATCCCTCACATCCAATCACAACCTTTGATTTCACGTTTACCATTATACATCTTCATATTCTGGATTTTATTGTAGTTACAAGCTGAAGAATCAAGCTTGTTCCTCTTGAAACTAATATTTGTAGCATCTGCACCAAACACCCTTTTCCTTGGTTCGCAATCAGGAAGAAATGCAGCAGCTCTTGTAATGCTGATGTTGTGGTTTTCGTTTAACCCTCCTTGTCTAATGCAGATTTCCTGGAATCTACAGTATGAGTCTGCATCCATAACCAACATCAAGCTTACAACGCGGTAAGAAATCTAACTGCGCAATGCTCAAACTAGCAACTGTGGTGATAACTTTGGCTCCAGATTCACAGAACAGATGGAATTTGTTTAAAATAAAGCAACAGATAACAAGCTGGGATACGAGAGGCTAAATGCAAGAGTGGAGCTAGAAGTTAGAACTCACTTCGCAGTATCGACATACTATGGCCATCTCCAAGCAGTAGTTTTGCAGAATCATCAAGAGATATTAACTCCGACTGAAATGTGCATTTCATTGTCAGCACCAGTCAAGCGGTTTAGTTGAAACAGACAGTTTCACAAGCATAAACCGTAATGCCTGCAACTCACATCAGAACAAAGGAAAAGCTTGACAAAATTATGGGTTAGAAGCCCCAGAGATTTCTCCTTCCTGTTATCTACAACACCAGGTTGAGTAACTGCCACTCTTATGAGGAACTAAACTCGGACCCACTCTGAATGCGGAGAACTCACCTAGTTTAGATGCTGCAGCAGACTGGCAACTGGGAAGTACCTCTTATGGGTTTTATGCATCTTTATAATCCTTCCATATTTTCATGACTAAAATTTGCATTGAGAAAGCAGGAAGTAGAAAGTTCCATTCCATGCACTTGCTTCAGTTCAAAGTTACACAGTAGTTTCACAAAGAAACTTCAGAGTTCTCAGATATTACAAGATTGAAGGGATCATTCTTTAGCTCTGTTCATTTCCCAGGGACGAAGTTGGTGGCGAAAGCCCAAGCATTGTTCGCTACTGGGTCAGCAACATGGTCGAAAAGGTTCTCAATGGGACCTTTTCCAGTAACAATGGCCTGAACGAAGAATCCAAACATGGAGAACATAGCCAGGCGGCCATTCTTGATTTCCTTGACCTTCAACTCAGCGAATGCTTCGGGGTCATCAGCCAAACCAAGAGGGTCGAAAGCCCCACCAGGGTAGAGCGGGTCAAGTCCCTCGCCAAGAGGTCCACCGCCAACTCTGTAGCCCTCAATGAATCCCATGAGCACAACCTGGCAAGCCCAGATCGCAAGAATGCTCTGCGCGTGGATGAGGTTTGGGTTGCCAAGGTAATCCAGACCGCCCTCGGAGAAGATTTGAGCTCCAGCTTTGAACCAGACTGCTTCACCGAATTTCACGCCGTTCTTGGAGAGGACCTCAGGGAAGACACAGCCTAGTGCTCCAAGCATAGCCCATCTGCAGTGGATCACCTCGAGCTCACGGTTCTTGGCGAACGTCTCAGGGTCTGCTGATAGTCCAGCAGTGTCCCAGCCATAGTCACCGGGGAATTCTCCAGTCAGGTATGATGGGGTTTGCTCAGAGAATGGACCCAAGTACTTGGGACGGTCTGCTCCATACCTGAAAGCAAATTGGAAGTCTTTAACAAGTCAATACTGGCAATCGTGTGGTTAAGTTCTTACTTAGAGCTCTTCAAGTTAAAAAGGTCATACTTTCATTTTGGTTTTACATGGCAATCGTCCATTCCTTTAGTTGAAATATACAGGTCAACCAGCTAAAGCATGAAGGGTAGAGCGGATTGCGAAGAATGAAGAGAAGTGGCTGCTTACCAAATGCTCTGGGGAACACTTTTCACAGTCCGGCGCATGTTGATCCGGCCTTCGCCAAAAGAACCAAACTTGCGAAGGAGCCCATCAGCCTGCTTGAGAGCAGTTTGGCCAGCGAATGCAGACTGTTGGAATGCAGAGGTTGCCATGGCTGAGAAAGGTTGAAGCTTTGTTGCTGCTGGTTGATAGATGAGTTGTTTTTTGAGGTTGTGGGAATTGCAGAGAAGTTGGGGGAGTTTATATGGGAAGTTTGGGTCTGTGGAGATGTTGTGGATTGGGGAAATCTACACGTCGGCAGCTGCTCATTGGCTATTGGGGTTTGATAGTGGATGTGGGTTTTTGAGGGGTAAGATTCTTGCTGAAGGTAGTAGAGGTTGAAAATGTGCCAGATGGGATTTGGAAGATTTTGTTTTGCCCGCCATGTAGGGTCAAGGTGTTTCAACGGGAGGCAAATGTCAGCCACATATGTGGTCACCAAGTAAATTACAGAACTTCTGAGGCTGTCCTTCACCTTCAGATCTTCGATACTTTCCCTTCAGAATTCAGATCTGGCAACAGCAGCAGCAGCTATCCACTCATCCGAACTCGCTGTGCTCCCTGGCCTCTAATCTTCGATGAAATGTTACTCATCTGGAAAATTAATTAGAAGTATTGATGTAGGGGTGTAACTTGTGCAATAAAATGTAGTTTGGCATGTGATCGGTAATATCGTCATTATTTCTGAAGAAGTCATGCTAGGTAAGAACATTAGGACGTACCTTAGGTATATCGTCACTATTTCTGAATGGTTTTCTCAGCTCATATGTGCTGATTGATTCAGATATACTGAGAGTCTGAGACACTGGGGGAGTTCTACTGGAAGTTGACATACTCTTGAAGTCATCTGGCAACTGATTATATGATGAGAAATCCAGTCTGCTGTGCTCTTATCTCTTGTTCTGGCTATCATTTAATTGTGAAGCTTGTGTTTTCCTTACTATCAGACATAAGCTGAAAGAGTTGAAGCATTAGAGACTGGAAAGGAACATACATGGTCTCTTTCTCAACTTGATGCCATTATCTTGATCAGAAGCCTCTGGTAACCTTGCTGTTATTTTCTTCATTGCTTGCTGTATACGAGGTGATTGGGGGAAATACCACACTGCTCACGGTTCAAAACTGCTCATTATGAAGCCATGTTTGAAGCTCCTGCACCAGCACTTCAATTTCTGTTCATTCAGACAACGAGCCTCAGCTGGAGAAGGAAAGGGAGACAAATAAACACAACCTATCCACCAGTCTCTTGGGTGAGAAGGTTCTTTAAAGAGGGTAGAGACTAGAGACTGTAACATGGAGTAACTAGACAGGGTACAGTTCACTAATTCGATTTCCGACCAATAAATCCCATAATTTTTATAGGATTCCAATTTCTAAGGTTTGAAATATTGAAATTCGATTTCCTTTTATGATGGAGAACCCTTACTCTTAATTCTCACTTTGGTGACATAGCAAGCAAATCAAACTCCAAGCTGTTGACTGTTGAGTTCACTAATTTGATTTCTGATACCAATAAATCCTGTCCTTTTTTTTTATAGGATTCAAATTTCTAAGGTTTGAAATATTGAAATTCTTTTTTTATATTTATGATGGAGAACCCTCACTCTTAGTTCTCACTTTGATGACGTTACAAGCAAACCAAACTCCGAGCTGTTGAGCCACAACAATAGGTTGTTGGCGTAGCGGGAATGCACAGGGAGACTATTCATGCAATCCTAACCACCTTGCAAGCAAGGCAAAGTCCTTCACCACCCGGATGCTACTTAAGGGATCGTCACCGTCATTAGGGTTCATGTGCTCCTAACCCCATGTGCTCTCTTTGTGATGCACCTTTGGAAACGGTGATGCATTGCCTCTTCTTTTGCCACTTGGGGGCTCCCTGATTCACTCCATAGCCTCCTTCCGGAGAACTCATACTTTGGTGAGTGGTTCTTTAATCTACAGAACACCTATTCCAACACTCAGGTCCGCAGGATTGTGTGCTACTTATGGAGTATTTGGATTGCTTGCAACAATTTCGTGTTTGAAGAAAATGCTCCTACCCCGGCCTCTTCTGTGATTGTGCCGGGTCGTGATTTCTTGCTAATAGAGGAAGCTAGGACGACTTCGTCGAGCTCTCCTTTCTCTCGTACGACACAATCTCACTCCCAGCCTAGGGGTCCCCGTTCGAACCCTTTACCACCGCCCCTCCCGTTTTCACGGTTGATGTATTGTGACGGTTCCTTTATCTCAGATTCATCATTGGCAGCATATGGGATTACTATTGCTAATGCCCATGGTCAAGTGTACGACGACAAGGCTGATTCTTTCCTCTGTTCCCATCCTATTCAAGCGGAAGCCTTTGGACTACTCAATGTCATCTTGATTGCAGCGCAAGACACATAACCTACCCGCATTCGAACAGGCTGCCAGGTTCTTACTCTTGCTCTTCGTCAAGACCCTTCTCTTTGGCCTTGGCAATGTCGTGCGACGATTGCTCGCATGGTTTCGGTATTCTGCTCCCTGGATCAAGGCCGAGTTCTTTCCTCGGTGTCTGAATTCACTCGCGGTTTGGGTTGCTGGTCAACCTCGACTGAATACATTACCGATGGACTGGATTGTAATTTGTGATATTATTGCTCCACTCTTATAATGTTACTGGCTTCCCTTCTTGGAATTGGAATAAGAGGATTACTTTTCAAAAAAAAAAGGTTCAATCCCATAACCTTTTCTTCTGTCGAATTATTGAATTCAAGTTTGCGCACACTTCATCATTTCAGAAATATGCTTAATACATAATATGCTAGATTGCTCTTCTAAAGAAGAAGTTTTCCCAAAGGACAATTATCTTGGCAAATTTTTTTTTTTTTTTTTTGAAGTTAAAACAAAGAATATAAAAGAGAATATATTTTCTTACAACGCCCGCATGTTGCATCTGAACCGTAAATTCAGACATGTGGGCAAGCCAACTAGACAAGCCACCTACATTCGCTGCACCTCGAGATAAGCACTGACTTCCTACGTGTCATCATCTCATTGGTTAACTAACCGCTAAAAATGGCGTATTCATTATTTTATTGCCAAACAGACACTCGTTTTAAGCGAACCAATCAGGTCCTACCATTTCCCAATTCCACCTTGTCAAGTTGAAGTCGCCTTCCTCTCATCCCTCCATTTCTCTCCGCGTCTTCTCTGCATCCCTAGCTTCAAGTCTTCAGCCTCCATTTCTTCCGACGATCTCAGCTATGGGCGGCGGCAATCGGTGGTTGAGGCCTGAGGTAATGAAATTTCAGATCCTTTGACTTCCGTAATAGCTCGTTTTCTCTCTTTCTCAGCTAGAAAAGGAGAAAGAAGAAGAAAAGAGTAGGTAGATGACTAGATCTGGAGTTATGGCGTTAGTAATCGTGTAGTTGGTGATTTGGATTTTCCGCAGGTGTATCCTCTGTTCGCCGCGACGGGAGTTGCTGTAGGGATCTGCGCCTTCCAACTGATCCGCAACATCTCCGGCAATCCTGAAGTCAGGTCAACATCTTTTCCTCACTAGTTTACTGCTGTAGGGGTATAGAACTGTTGAATTGTCTTCACCGTTGCCGTCGACCGGTTTCCGGCCGCCGTTGGATCTTTGGCCAAAACAGCCTCGTCTTAGTCGCCTATCTTCCAGCTGTAGTATCATTGAGTATACGAATTGTCTAGAGCTTGTGTTGAACAAGGAAATTGTTATTGCTTTCTAGAGGTAGATCGGGGTTTGTTCTTGGCATGTGTTGATATGGAGTTTCTTCTTCTTTGTTGGTAAATGGATTGGCAGGGTGAAGAAGGATAACAGGGCAGCGGGGATACTGGAGAACTTTGCGGAGGGGGAGAAGTACTCGCAGCATGCTCTTCGGAGGTTCGTGCGAGACAGGGCGCCGGAGATCATGCCCAAACTCAACAGCTTCTTCTCCGACCCCAAATGAAAACCCTAATTGCTGTTCTAATACAAAAGAAATGGAATTTGGTGGAGGACAATTACTGTGATAGAACACTCAAAGATTGGTGTTGCAGTTTACTGGACCGCATATTTTGTTCTCAGAAAATAAGAACCGGTTTCTGGAATTTGTGGAATGTACCATTGATTGGATGCATGTTTGATTTGTCTATTGATCTTGTGATTATGATGTGGTGTTCTATGACCCGGATTTCAGTGCTCGTGTTTCGTTCTTACAGTGTTCCGGCTCTTGCTTGTTCGGAGTATTATACGTTCGTATCATCGCTACCTAGAAAATGTATTGCAAGTTTTTGATTCCTTTGGAAGGTATATACCGGTGTGAAATCAACTGGTGTCTGTAAATTGACCTCACTTATCTGTAGGCTGCTTGTTATCAGAAGAGCTGAAACAGTTTAACAGGTTGTTTGATCTGTGTATTTGTGAGCATTGTTTGCAGAACAACATAGTTGATGTGTACACAAAACCTAGCTATTTGTTGTAAAATTATGCTCTTGACCATTTGATGTGCAACTGCTGGAAGGATATCGCAAAACTCGGACAAAAAACCTCTCAAGGATGCCACAATCCATTCCCTCAACAACAACAAAAAATTATAGCAGTCCATCAAGAATGGACTGATAATGAGTGATACGGCAAAACGGACCAACACTAGCCATTTGCATAAAAAGAAAAATTGAATGGTGGATTCAAGTGGCAAATGTACTGGACTACAGAAGAGCAGAACTTCTCGATTCAGGTTGTCGATGGGACCCCGCCAAGAGAGACCAAGATCAAGGACGGAAATGGTCAACATCCATTGATGGCAAACTGGTGTCACCCCTTATTCCTCGCAGTATGTTCTTCGCTGTTTCTTTCTCCTGCAATGGTGCAAAGACAAAAATTACTCACATTCATCCACCATCTTCATGACCTTTGAAAACTAGAGTTGTGCTCTTTGGCAAATCCACAACTAACATCTAGATAATAAAATGAATGAAAACTTACCGGGCCACCATAATCCATAAGACGAGCACAATACACCTCGGCTTCTTCGTATCTCTTCATTTCCCTGCAATGCTCGGCAAGAAACGACAATGCTTCAACCATGTTCTGAGCTTCCCTCTCCTCGGCTTCCATCCTCTCCAAATCCTTCTTGTAGTAGAATGCCGCCTCTTCAAACCGCCCAAGCTCACGGTGCAGCTTGGCCAACTGCTGCAAGGCGATTGCTTCCTTGTCACCACAGCTTGCAGCTCTCTTATAACACTTGATAGCTTCCTCCAGCATCTGGAGCTGATCGGTTTCGTAGCACTGGGCCATGGCTATCCATAGTCGAGCATCGTTCGACTGCAAGAAGACTGACTTCTTGAAATAGTGAAGGGCATAGAAAGGCATTCCCATCACCTCATATGCTTGCCCTAGACCATACCAAGCTCGATAGTCACGAGGGTTGATGTCCACTGCCCTTCTGTAGGCATCAACAGCAGCAGGGGTGTTCTTCATTTCGACATACTCATGCCCCATAAGCGTCCAAGCAGTGAGATAGTTTTTGTTCAACTTCAGCGCCCTTTTAAAGTACGTGACTGCTTTCTCATGCTGACCCTTTAAACTATAGTAATTGGCGATGATGCAGCAAGATTCAGGGCGATATTTATCAGTCATGAATACCCTATGAGCAAGATAACTTAAGGCTGAGAAGCACTCCTTTGCATACAGCACATTGGAGTACATATCCATGTCTTCCACTCTATAGGGGTCATTTCGCAATAACTCTTCAAATATCACCTCCACTTGTTCGAATTCCCTTAGACTATATTGAACTTGAGCAATTTGAGCTTGAACATAGTTACTGAAACTGAAAGTTCCTTGTAGATATTCATATTTGGCCAAGGACTCATTGTGCATTTTTAGTTCTTGGTAAGCACTGGCAAGGAAGAAGTCCTTCATCCAGTGGTTACTGAGACTGAGACTGCTCAAGATCTCAGGAGTTGAACATAGTGCTTGTAGCTCTGACCAAGCACTCCAGTTCCAAGGGTAACAGTTCACAGATTCCACAAGCACCATACGAGCAAGATTCTGGTTACCTTTCTCTTTGAGGACAATACCATACAAATACAACCCAAATGGATCGATCGTTCCATTCTTCCGAAGGGTTGATAACTCGATTTCAATAGTGACCAGCTCACAGTTCGTGGGTTCACTGTTTCCAAGCCCTGTGAGTTCTATTGATTCTTCTTCTTTGCGCTTTTCTCCCGCCTTCAAGTCCAGGACATTACAAGACATTAGTTGAAGAACAACATTGTAGTTTATTTAACAAAGTAAAATGCAAACGTTCGATAATAGTATTCGGAAGAAACCAAAACCAATAAACCAAGAAGTGGAGTAGTAGATCTTAATGCCCATAAGATAAAATCTTCATACTTGAATTCACTTATCATCCAAGACAATGAAATGAATTGGAAAGTCTGTGCTACACACTGCTACTGGAAATATTTCCACCCATAAACTTTTACTGCAAGCAAAGAAGCTAAGAAACGAGACAACCGACAAGGAAAGTGTTCTTTATAAGATAGTATCTATAGATTTTAACCAATGGACACTGTTGCAACTGATTGTAGGAAGCCACGAAGTGGGCATAGGACCGTCCTTCTAAGCATCGAACATGGTCTCCTAAAATAGCATTGGTTTCTAATCCATATTAGAAAGAGATCATATAAAAACGCAAGCCAGTTTATCAGTCAAAGAAGAGCAAGCTTACGAGGAAAAGAGCATAATCCGCAAGAAAACTGATCATATAAAAACGCAAGCCAGTCTATTAGTCAAAGAAGAGCAAGCTTACGAGGAAAAGAGCATAATTCCTCAAGAAAACTGATTTCTTCGCAGTTTGGTCTCGCAGAGTATGGGCAGCCCGTCTATACTCCCGGCAGTCGAAGTAAGTTTTCCCCAGAAGGTAGAAGTCGTTATCCACTGCCTCGTCTTCCTCCATTACTGGAGTGGAAACATACGAAACACCAGCAATCGGTGTGAGCGGCGTAGCGGAAGCGATCTCATTGGTGCGAAATCTGCGTCGAATGCTCGAGCTTCCTCGCTGGAACCTGGTGTTAGCAGGCGTGAACTTCGCCGGGTCTTGCTCAATCCCTACGAGCTGCTCCGCCGCCCTGACCAGCAATTGAGCAATTCACCGCCGGCGAAACCAAGAATCTTAGTTTTAGACTTCAGAAGGAAGAAAACCCAGAAGAAAAGGAAAAGTCCCAAGCTTTTTAGGGTTTTATAATGAGAATGAAGGAGTAGCAGAAGATTTTACCATTTTGCGGCAGGGTGAAGGCAACGATCGCTGAGTTGGCGAATCGCAGTTCGAAGTTCATTCCTACAGTTCTCTTTAGAGCTCATCTCCGAATTTGCATTGCCAATTCGCCCTCTGTTCTCTTCACTTCTTCTGCAGCTTCGTCTGAACTGACCAAACTTTTGCTGGAGTAAAAAAAATCAAAATTTTGCTTCTCGGCGCCCTTTCCAGAAGACAACCAGATTGAAGCGGGCTTTATCGGTTTTGGGTATCGGCCCAATATCTACGAAGCCCAAAAATGGGTCCTCCTCCTCCTGAACGGAGGAGGTAAAATAGCAGCTGCCGCGAAGTAAAAATTCGATCTTTCTCTCTCGAGTCGACCGGCTCCTTCAGGTTAACCACCGCATCCTTTCTCCTCCGGCCGCTGTACCTTCCTTCCATCCGCCTGTTGGTCTACCGCCATGGAGACCCGCAGCAAACGACTTCGAAGGTTGTCAGAAGTGAACCATATCGACAAACTCGGAGACGATCTCCTCGCGGATATTCTGATTCGGTGCCTCCCGTGCCCTAGATCCGCCTGCCGCTGCAAAACCGTCTGCAGGCGTTGGAGATCCCTGATCTCCAGTCCCAGCTTCAATCTGGGTTTCGTTTCCTACCACCAGAGCAGGAACGAATCGCCGCCTCTGCAACTTCACACGCACGATCCGCAATTGATCATCAGTTTCATGCCTCGCCTTGAGTTTCGAGTACATTTCAACTTGAAAGTCTTGGATTGCTTCAAGGACTTGCTTTTATGCGGGTTTATGGCCTTAGATTACAACAATCCCGAACTCAGCAGAACGTTCGTGGTCTGCAATCCGTTTACGGAGCAGTGGTTGGCCCTCCCAATAGCGCCTAAGAAGCTAAGGCCGTATGCAGGATCGACTGCAAGGTTAGTCTGTGAACCACGCATCTCTTATAATCTTGATCTAGGAGATTACCAATCATTTGTTTATTCTGAGTATCGGTTCCGGGTGGTTATCTTATACCAAAATGAGAATTCGATAAAACTAGACGTGTTTTGTTCCGAGTCGGGCGAATGGACAGGGGAGGCTATTGTTATTGATGGTGTCAAACTCCTTAGCATGAATGTGGTTTCGTTCCACGGGGAGATGTTTTGGATGTATGCTAGAGCACTAAAGGTAGATGATGGCCTGTACAATCGTTTGTTGGCAGTGTTTAATCCATTCCGGCTCGATATACCTCCCACTTCGATTGATACGTCTACACTGTTTGAGAGTTCGAGGTGGGATATTTCGGTCTCACAAGATGCTTTGCACGTAACTGCATTTAGAGAGAATCCTGATCCGCCACCAGGTTGTTCATGGGTTGTCTCGAGTGTTTGGAGACTGGAACGAGACCGTAAATCTTGGACTAAAGTATTTGAAGGGTTATTGAAGGCACCAAGGTCTAAGTGTGGCCCTTTGAAGGGTCCATTTCTCGGTCTGCATCCAGAGAAGATGGAAATTGCCTTCTTCGAATGTACTACTGAGAATCCGGTTGCTGTCTTCTCCTGCGACTTGAGGACGGGGGAGCTAGAGTTCGTCGCTGAACTAAAACTATTTTTACCTCGTTTTATGGTGTTCCTGCCTAGGTTCCTTTGTTGGCCTACTCCAGTTCCTAGGTACAAGGAACTGCGAGGCAGATACAATGGAACTCACAGCTGTTTGACTCAGAGCACCGAGGCAACAACTTCTCCAGGCACTGGTAATTTATTTTGTCAGAAGTTACCTTTCCTTTTCCGGGTTTGTGTCTCTTTTAGGTAAAGTTCACTAAATGAATCCAGGAAGTCAGAAAGAAAGGGTTTCCCCAGAAAATAGCCTGCATAAAACTTGGTGGCCTAACAGGATGAGGTGTGTGGTTAGGTTTTCTGAATTCACAAAATGACACCAGGAAGTCAGAAAGAAAGTTCACCTAGAAAACATCGTGTAGCCACATTATAAGACCTAGTGCCCTAACAGGACGAGGTGAGAGGTCTTTGGGCATAACTAACTACTTCCTCATGTAACACACATTAAATAGATACATGTCAAATCTTGAATCCCTTTGCTTCAGAGTTTTACTTTGGTTGCAAACTCTTAGGTTTTTAATCTAAAACTTCAATGAAGTTAAGGATACATAGATGCATAGGGATGGTGTACGTGTATTCTTTTGGCTTCGTTCGATTTTGTGATTTCTAGTCTCAAATTTTTTTTTTTTAGGTGTGTGTGGCTGGTTTAATTGCTGGACCAATGATGAATGGCAACTAGATGAGATACTTGCACAATTTGGTCATAGGAGAAAGGAGAACAGATCAGCACACCACAGGCATCATGGTAAGAAGCGGAAATGTTGGTGCAAGACTTGCTCGTGTGCTAAGCAGGATGATATCATTGGAAGATAATTATCAACTATTTAAAGCAACTGGTGGTGCTGTTCATTCAGGCATTCCATGCTATACTGACATGGATATTGAACTGGTCTTGGAACACCTTTGATCTATCTGATAGGAAGCCATAGTGTTCTTACTAAGTGTTTTACACGGCCACTTGTTTATTTGGCTTAGTTTGTTTGTTTGGAAAATAATCTATACAACTCATGATGGGACATAGTATTGTACTGAATGTTTGTTGTTGTTTATGCAATGATAAATTTTTTTATAGTATTTGAAGTGTGAGATATTGCGTGTAATCCTCCAAGCAGTCTGATAATATTCTGTTGACTCAGCAGCGGAAAAAGGTAAAGGCAAGGTCGTTGTTGAATGCAAGCGGTCAGCTGCTATTCGTTCCACCATCGATCATCCCAGCTGCTGCCGGCCAACTTGTTGTTGCTACCTTACAATTTCCGATTTTTTTTTTTCCCCACAGGAAGAGGCGTGTGTTGAACGACAGGGTCCGTCGGAGAATAGTTTGAGCCGCCGGAGAATGATGGTCGGAAGCAGAGGTACATTCAAATCGCGTTTTTCACATCGTTTTACTATCCTACCAACCGCGATTTTCACTGCGCTTAACCCTCCCTCCAACCGCAATTTCGAGCAGTTTGACCATCCTTCCAAACGAAAATTAGAGCTCGTTTGACCACTCTTCCAACGGGAGTTCCAACCACAATTTTGACCTCGTTTTACCACCTTTCCAAATGAAATTTATAGTTTGTTTGACCGCCCTTCCAACCGGGATTTTCACTTCGTTTGACCCTCCTTCCAACCTCAATTTCGACCGCATTTACCGCCATTACAAACAATAATTTGACCGCCCTTCTAACCGCAATTTTGACCTTGTCTGAACGCCGGTCAACAAAGCATTCTGACCACGGTACTGCGGTTCCTCGAACAAACTCGGCTCTCACCTTTACCGATTGTTTTCTCCGACGGTGCAGGGGCAGCGGACGGCGAGGGCAGAGGAAGAGGGGAAAGAGAAGCGCAACGCAGGGTGGTGGTGTTAGTGTGTGGTATATGATCAACTGGTTCTTGACATGATACCCGAGTCTTCTGTTACCGTGAGGTCTTTTGTTCGATTCTCGTTGACCCCTATCTGTTTTTGCTAAGCACACGGTGCCTAGACCTGTGCCTCTCCGAACTCCAAGCCTATCTTAATGGCTTAAGTTTGAAGGGGGTGTTAGTGTGTGATATATGATCCACGATTGAATCTCTCCCAACAACTCGAGTTATTGTGATCAACTAGTTCTTGACAGGCGGATGGTGAAACGGGAGAAAGCAATCTCTCCCAACAACTCGAGTTATTGTGATCAACTAGTTCTTGACAGGCGGATGGCGAGACGGGAGAAAGCAGGGGCGCAACTCTTCACCTTTCTCGATCGTCTTCGCCGGCGATTCAGAGGCGGCGGACAACAATTAGGTTTAGGTATGGACTTGTAACGTTGATTATGTTTGGGCTTGGGTTCTTGGAGATCGAACTTGAGGCGGAGACGAACATTGATGGTCGACAGAGCAAAGTCTTCTTCTCAAACAGCCTTCAGAGTAGGGGTGTTCAAATGGTTACCGTGGTCATAACCAAACCAATTAATCCTAAATTTCATTAACCATGGAATAAAATATCTTGACCAAACCGTCCAAATTAACATGAAAACTAAATTAGCCAAACCAAAATTAAATTGGTTTGGTTTAATCGGATAATCAGATTAACCAAATAACATAGCATTACACGGAAATGTTTATCCAGTAAATGAATAAAACATAACCATATGTTGTTACTATCATTATATATAAGCAATAATAAAATTAATCATCCATGATTACCATCATCGTTCGAGTTAATACATCATTCATCATCTCTGCACATAATATAGTTAGCTTACAACAAACCCCTTAACATAAATATATACCAATACCCCTTCATCAGGAAGTTATTGATCTCCTACACAACACTTAAACTATACATAGTTTGAGGTGACTGTCATGGTATTGTACGTAATCCTAAAGTCTAGTAGTTGTCCAAAATGTTTTGGTTTAGCAAATAGGCAGACACATTTAATTTTTTTTACCCATAATGTTTTGGTTTGTTGTGCACATGGAAATAAATTAGTGAATCACGAAAGTTTGGTTTGATTGGTTGCACCATGAAAGTATAAATAATTTTATATATTAGGTGTATCATTAATTGGTTAATTGGTTTCATTGGTTAGCAGTGTTAAAACCAAATCAAACCACTTTAACCAAATAAGCTAAATTGTTTAACCAAACCAAACCAATTATCCAAATTAACCAAACCAAATTAATTGAATATTACCGGTTAATATGGTTACCACGGTAACCAATCCGTTTGAACACTCCTACTTCGGAGGGCAAGGATGGGAGTAACCAAGAGTTGGTGGGAAGTGTTTGTGTTCCCATTTTGATTCTTAACTATAAATGGCCAATTAAGTAATTGTATGATAAATGTAGGACAAATAGTAGTAAATTTAGGACGACTAATAGCAATCCCTCCAAAAAACTATGCTTTGATGCTACTGCTTTGTAGGATGTTGGGCTATATACTTATTGTATGATGGGTGACGAAAAGCATGAGGTGGAACAACAAGTGGTGGATGGCCGATGAAGAAGATGATTCAGCGGTGGAGGAAGCTAGCCACGAGTGACTCCAAGAAGATAAATGGGATTAATGTTCTGGAATTGTCGTGGAATTGAACTTGTTGCGACAATTAGATGTTGGGAACCGAACAATTGAAATAGTGGTTACACTGCCTCGTAATGTGCACGGCAGGCTATCAGCCTGTCGTCTCCGGGATAAAACAACCACTATTTGTTTTTCCTCGGCTTGTGCGAAATCGGAGCTCTTTGAGTCTCACTCTCTTCGTGTTCTCTATCTCTTTAGGATTAGGCAACTCATCTATTTATATAGGATGAGACCTTCAGACTTTCTCTCTTGGTGGAGGATCTGAGAATCTTCTTAAGGAGGGAAATCAAAAGTAATAACTTCTAATTATACCTTCCTTTAATGCAGACAATTAACCCGATTGATAAGAGTTTCCTTCAATACCTGAAATCAATATGAGAGATTAAAACTTTTCGTTATTATGGGTAATTGATATGATGACGAAAGATTCCTTCAATACGGAAAATCAATGCAATTGATTGTAACTTTCTGTTAATTCAGTCAATTAATTATGATTGAATAAATGTTTCATTCGATACGGAGAATTAATATGAATTAACTTCACTTACTTTTTTCAAGGACTTTCCTTTAATTTTTACAAACTATTCACATTTTTCAACATTCGACAGACAGTTAGTAGGTTTAAATGTTCAATTTCAGTATGATATAGTCTATCTTTCATAGACAATGTCAAATAAAAGTATTGTAGGCGCCAAATACGGCATTTACAATTTTCTAGTTCTAGTATTTTAGTAGATGTCGTTTAAACTGTCGGCGCTTGGCTATAGGATGGTCTATTGAGGTCTCGGCCTCACTCCTTTGTAGTGATTTGTTTTATGTTGTTCTCAAATTGAATAAAGACAATTTTGATTATGTTTTGGTGCTTGTTTATTTTAGTTGAGAATATCAGCTCTCTACCATTTAATTATGGCGAATACATGATTTTTGCTCTCCTATGAGGGTGTCGTACGTAGTTGTAGGGGACTTCAACTCCATCTTGGCATCGAATGAAAAAGGAGGGAATTCATGGCGACCGGCAGACTCGTTGAACTTCCTTGAATCGATAGATGATTTGAGCTTACACGATCTAGGGTTTTGTGGCTCGCTTTTCACATGGACTAATAGAATGAATCCACAATGAATTATACAGAAGCGTCTAGATCGGGTCTTGATGTCAAATGGGTGGGTGGATCAATTTCTGTTGACACCTAAAATTAATTCGACCAGAATTAAATGCCGCATTAATTAGTCTCGGCATTTAAGTCGATACCGCGCATAAAAAACGGTATCGTTGGGAGTCGAGCGGCGTCGCGGAGAACTAAAACGGTACCGCAAGGAAGCTCAGCGGTGCCGCGGTACTGCAAACGACACCGCTTACAAAAAACAAGAGGGCCGCGCGTGGGTATTGGAGAAGGAGTTTTCTCTAATTAATTATTATTTTTATTCCTTGTCGAATTGGAAGAAGCGGCACCGAAGGGAGTTAAAACGGTGTCGCGGAGAGCTAAAACGATGTCGCGGAATTAAAAACCGTACCGCGAGTAAGCCCAACGGTACCGCAAGCAAACGACAGTGTTTAATAAAAACAATGTCGCAAAAGGAAAAACAAACAGAGCCGTTTTGGCGCTAATGATGTTGTTGGTCGTGGACTAGTGATGGCCAAATTAGTTAATTAATAT